GTGAGATACCAATATGAGAAAGGAAGAATTTGGGAGGACGAAAGACTTCCAAAAATGGAAATTAATAATTCTTCCTGACCGAAAACAAAGAAAAGCCCTTAATGCGGGTTTAGAATTATCAAGGAACCTCAAACACCGACAGGCACAACCCGGCTTTGGTCGGCGTCCATATAAGCAGAGTCGCAACGAGGCAGTTCGCAGTTCGCAGCTGAGCGGTTGGGGTTAGACAGACAGGCAAGCAGTTGCAGTGAGCTGAGAGCTCGCAGATTCCTCGCAGAAAGCTGACTTGAGATTCCACGCAATCACGACCTCAACTTCTAACCAAGAACAATTTATTTTTGAAGAACGACTTAGACTCACACCACCAAAACAAGTTTTACGAAAATCGCCTGAAGATACACCAAGAACCAGTTTCTTAAAGAACAAACAACTTAAGATGTTAAGACTCGCCTAACAAACTCAAAGTGTCACGAATCCATATAGCGTTTTGGGAGAAAGAAGCAGTCCTGTATTCAGCAACCAGATATAAAATATTGTTATCCTTTTTTAACACATTTGAACTTTTCGAGTTATTACTTTATTTTCTTTTACATATACTTGTGCGGTGTTACCCTTGTCCGGACTCAGATTGCCCGGCGACTGATTGATTTCGTCTAAGATCAAATCACAATGTGGGTAGGTTAGACTAGAAATCAAAACAGTTACTTCGGTAACCAGACGTTGGAGGCGAGCTGGGAACGACAAGGCTGATACCGAATCTAACCAGATTCCCATCCGAATCGGCAAAGGGTTAGATCGTCACGTTTGGTGCCGCGACCAAGTCACATTGGTCGTCCCGGGACAGGATAGGACGGCGACGGCGCGGAGACAGACGGGGTGGCGTCACAATTGGCGCCGCGAGCAGGACAGCACGGCGGGCGCGGACAGGCAGACGTCACATTTAGCACAGCGACACCGGGGGACGTCACATGTGTAAATTTTAAATCTGAATGCATATTATTAAGAGAGACAAGGAATTGTTCAGCTTCAATCTCGTTATCGAAGAGACAAAAAGTGTCATGAACGTAACGGAAATAAACGGCAGGTTTATTAGGTTTCAATAACATACTCTCTTCTTGGAACCCAACAAAGATATTTGCTAAAATGGGTCCCAAGGGGGAACCAATCGAAACAACATCAATCTGCCTGTATATGACGCCGTCAAAACTATATTCGACTGACATCGTGGCAAATTTCATCAGTTCAGCAAAAACGTCCTCAGAAACAAGAAGAGGGGTCAATTGACTACAATACAGGGCATGAGCACATATATCGATAGTCTCAGCCAGTGGAACGCAGATAAATAGACTGGAAATGTCGTAGGAACACAGATTTATCCATCAACGAATAACGCTGCATAAAATGAGAGAATTCGAACGACTCTTTAATACTAGCTGAGTTATATTGTTTTCATACTGGCTGTAATATGGTAGAAAGCCATTTGGAAGAAAGCCAAGTTGAGAAGGCATTATCATAGATAGAATAGGTCTCAATGGTACCCCATATATATATATATATATATATATATATATATATAAATGGTAATACTCGTTTGTTAAACCTCAGATAGCCCAACTTGTAAGAGAACAAATCGGTACCCAAGGAAAAATTGGAAATAGAAAGAAAGAACTAAGAACATTAACACAATACGAAACTAATAGTCAAGTGCTTAATCTCCAAGTGCAAAAGTAGAAAAAAAAAAGCAAACCAGTAGATGGACTAAAACGTAGAGTGGTCAATACACTAAACAGAGCGATAAACTAAAATAATCATATAGATCTTATATATATATATATATATATATATATATATATATATATATATATATATATATATGTATGTATTATTAAATGATTTGATAATTATATTTAAGTAATTAGATCCTATATATATATATATATATATATATATGTGTATATATATATTTATATATATTTGATAATTATATTTAAGTAATTAGATCCTATATATATATATATATATATATATATATATATAGGATAGATTTATATTTAAGTAATTAGATCCTATATATATATATATATATATAGGATCTAATTACTAAATTTAATTATCAAATCCTCTAATAATATATATATATATATAGATAGATATATAGATATATATATAGATCTATATACATATATATAGAGATATCTATATATAATCGTTTTTATATATATATATATATATATATATATATATATATATATAATAGTCTCTCCCTATCTGTGTCTATATATATATATTTATATATATATATATATAAGTCTCTCTCTATATATATATATGTGTGTGTGTGCGCACGCACTTGTGTGTGTGTGTAAAAGAAAAAAAACAGTGACTGATAGATAGATAGATAGATAGATAGATAGATAGATAGAGAGTATAATAGATGCAAAGAAGGTACATATTGGCATAAAGATAAAGTAAAAAAAAAACTGGGAGATATAAAAAAAATGATACATAGATTACTAGATAGTTACTTAGTTCGATCAGTAAATTCGTAGCCTATTTATGAACTAATGCTATTTCTCTCTATGCCCCGAACACTTCATCAGTATTCATGTAAATCGAACATTATAATATAAAATATTTCACTGAACATCTCTCACGGTAACGATTTATTGATCCACCCTAAGTCATTGCTAGACCCATGCAGAGTCTGTCATTCTCATTCTAGTCACCGTCGGAAACTGACACGACACAACTTTGCGTACCGCCTACGGAGTTTGTCAACTTTTATGAAAGGGTCAATTTTATTAATTCGTATTGTACGTTTCCTTCAGCAAATGTAACCCGTGCCTAGCGTTGAAATATCTTTCATCGAAGCCCAGACCTGCATATAAACTGAATAAATAGACTTCTTCACTGAAATGTCGCTTAAAATTTCAAAAGTGTTTTTCGTAAGCTAAATCTTTTTTCTTCTTCTTCTTCCTATTGGGAGCGGTAATTTCTAAGTCAAACTTTAGAGATATTTCAATTTCTTTTTTTCTTTTTTTTTGTTGCCTAAAATACATTTTGTGTGCAAACATTTCTTGTAACAGAGCTAGGAAAATCAATTAAAAATGATTTCTTTTCTGGAAATGAATTTGTAAATTAAAAAAGAAACGTTAAATTCTTACATTTTACTGTTTAAGTTTTTCCACAAAATTCACATTTTATATAATTAATTGATAATAGCACAGATCGTTATGTCTTAACAAAATATATAAATTACTGGAGTTTAACATCTTCAAAGGTGAGTAGATTTTTGCCAAAGAAAATGTTCAATATTAAAAAATGAAACTACAATAGTGAATAGGTTCACAAATAGCCCACTTGTTACATATATCTCTGGATCTATTGCTAGGTAAGTTGCTACGAAATTTAGCTCACTGTGTCTGAAAATATATATATATATATATATATATATATATATATATATATATATATAAAATCGATTCTCCGTCGGGTTCGATGTATGAGGGTCAAGCAGATCAGTTTCAGGAAATAGGAGGACAGACTGGGTTCTATAGACTCGGATGGCAACTGGTCTAGGAGAAGGACAACTCTGAAACCTGAGGGGTTTTGGGAGACCTTGTGGCACGTAGTGCACCAGGTCTCTGTATTCAACCCTTCAAAAAGTGTGGAAGTGTTGATATATATATATATATATATATATATATATATATATATATATATATATATGTAATAATACGTTGGTAAATAATATAAGTTAATCTAATTTGTAAAAATGTCAAAACTGATTCACATACAGAGCTCGATGTTTATATATCTCAATATATATATATATATAGAAAAAGTTGCAAATTAAAAAAATAATAATCCTTTTTTTGTGAAAGTATTTATTTATATATATATATATATATTTGATATTTCAGATTGACCTCAATCTGAAATCTATTTCAAACCTTCATTTGCTTCCGATCCTTAGCTATGATTAATTAATGATGAACGTGTCATTTTCTTTTATGATCCAATTCATCACAATTCTTGTGTCAAGCTTGGAGAGTAAGTAACCATTTTTATTACTCAAAGTAGATTTCAGTAGTGTTATAAAAGCCTCGGATAATTCCAGTAAGATATCTTTAATCATTTCTAAGATACAACGGTTCAAAACTTAATCTAACAATTCTGCTGTTACACCCGGTATGTGTTTTTGGCTGTGAAGCCTTTTCTTCTATATATGAAGCAGTAACCTCTGTCAGTTTTCTTTCTAATCGAACTCCTAGAGTTTTGGAGATAGATCCCCCCCCAAAACGATATATATTCTGAAATTGCCAGGGTACTTGTTTAATTACATTAAATTAAATTTAAATTTAAACAAAGGCATGTCTCCTATCCAAAATATAGCAAGAGAAAGCCAGAAGATGGAAGTCACATTGGCAAAATGAGACAATATGGACGTTAATTTGAGCAAGAAATCACCAAACAGTGGGTAGAGACTTATATGACGTATTTGTTGCCACAATACAACTGTCATACCAATGTTTAAATCTGCTCATCAATTCATTCAATCAAGTATTGCATCAAATACATATCAAAGGCATTAGACCAAGCTGTTTTTTCATACCCCACCACTGAAAAGTAATTTCCCTTTGATTTAAATTAAATTTAAATTTGAACAAGGGAATGACTCCTATCCAAAATATGGAAGGAGAAATCCAGAAGATGGAGGTCGAACCGGAAAGATCATTGAGTAATATTGAAATGCATAATTTTTCTTCACAAATTATAACTATTGTTTAAAATCAGTCATCATTTTCTTACGAAAAATGTGTGGCACGCAACAATGTGAGGGTAATCGGCTAGTAATACCGATAAAATTAAGAATGGCTTTTATGATCCCAGATAAATTACAATAAAATACTTTCTAATTTGAAATTTTCTTCTTTTTTTCACTCCTAGCAAGGCAGGAAGCCACTAGGGCGCAATGGGCTACAGAAAATTTAGAGCAA